TTTCACTGGAATAGAGCACATAATAGACACTCAATAGATATTTATGAACTAAGTAAATAAATTATTATAATGAGCCCTTGTATATCTTAGATACTGCAAGAGACATTAGGGAGTAACTAACACTATGTCCACATAATGTTTTAAGGTCAGCTAGGAAATTAGAAACATACTACAAGATAGCTAAAAAAAACACACTGCAATGGGTGTACTTTTGGATAGTAATGAAAATTTCAAAGATGAGTTAGAATAGAAAGAATTTTGATATGTGAAAGCATCAGACTGCACTCCATGTGCAGTTAACGGCATAAGAAAAGGCTTGGTGGGAGCAAGAAGCATAATGATGAATTGTAGCTTATTGAGCTTCCATTCTGTTCCATAAACTTTAAATTCTTCAATTCTTTTAAGCTTCAGAGTGCCTTCCATTTTCCCATGCCCAGGAAGAAATAATTATTTTTCACACTCCAGTGAAGGGAATAAAGACAAGCAGACATTAATTGGGAAAACTTGGATTTGAATCCAGGTCTTCGTATCCCATAACTTGTGATTGTAACCACTAGATTGTATTCAGTGAGTGTTAGCTTATTTGGGGCTGGCATAGAAGGAGTATATGTAGGGGAAGAGAAGAGAAAGCCTGAAACCCTAAAGGGTTAATATGGTGGTGGGAAGTGGGATGATCACTTTTAAAAATCCTTAATGTATTTTAATTGATTTCAGAGAGAAAGGGAGAAAGATAGAAACATAAATGATGAGAGAGAATCATTGATGGGTTGCCTCCTGCATGCCCCCCATTGGGGATCAAACCCATAACCCAGGCATGTGCCCTTGACCTGAATCCTACCCAGGACCCTTCAGTCTGCAGGCTGACGCTCTATCCACTGAGCCAAATCAGATAGGGCTTAAATCTTAAATTTATTATAAGTACAAAACCCATTTTCATAGTTAAATATAGTACATTAGTTTGAATGAGATATACAGGTAGAGGTTGTAGAGAATGGTAAAATACATTGATTATTACTTTTTAATTTTACAAAGGTTATTTATTGTCCCTCTTTATATATTTTAAGTTTGTGAAGTATATTTCTGAATATTATATTTTTAATGATTTGGCTGAAATGTTTTAAATTACCTGAATAATATTTTAAACAAAGTTCCTTTTGTAAAATATTATTCAGCTGACCTGTAAGGTACCCTTGCTTTTCAGAATATAACTCAGCATCAATTTAATTTGGAAAAAATATATATACTAGCTTCAACAATTAAGAAGTATTATGAACTAATGAAAGATAATACATACCAAAGAACCATGTATTTTTTTTTAAGTGGGAGAAGATATAAAATAGTAATATATTCCAAATAAGTAGCAGTGTTTATAAAGTGCATAGTGTGATGTTTACGGATAGCTGAGGTTTATATAAGCTTTAATAACAGCATGAAATCACTGCGGTATGTCATTTTTCTCTTTCCATTTATGCTTATCAGAGTCTTTTTAAAAATGGTTGGCTCCTATTGCACCACAATGGAAATTCATTAGTATTTTGTAGTGATAAAACTGTTGATTTTTACCTTGAGTTGGTTGGATAGAATAAAAAAAAAAAAAAAAGTTTGTTTTTTGTTTTTTTTTTGCTATTTCCAGCAGCTATATGTGTGAAAAATCATCATAAAGAAAACAGGATTATAGAATAATAGAGTCAAAAGGAGCTCTAGAGATCAATACAAATTCTAGCTTAGTTTGTCAGTGGGTGTGATCCCCAGTAGTTAGGTCAAATATTAGACTAGATGTTGTTATGTTGTGAAGGTATTTGTGGGTACGATTAGCATACACAGACATCAGACTCTGAGTAAAGCAGATTACACTCTTTAATGTGTATGGGCCTCATCCAAGCAGTTGGATAACTTAGAGAAAAGACAGAGGTTTTCTGAAGAAGAAAAAATCTCATTCAAGACTGAAACAGAAATCCTACCTAATTTACCAGTCTGCTGGCCTGACATTCAGTTTCCAGTTCTCACACTCTCACAAATCAATTCCATAAAATCTCTTCTTGCTCTCATATACACACACACACACACACACACACACACACACACACACACACACAAACACACTAGAGGCCCAGTGCATGAAATTCATGCATGGGTAGGGTCCCTAGGCCTGGCTGACAATCAGGGCTGATCTGAGGAGTGACCAGTAGGCTATCAGAGGGTGACTGGGGTTATCAAGGGGCAGCACCAGTCTGCTCACTGGCTGGCCTCAATGCTCCTTCCCCCCCATTGCCACCTCTGTGGGAGGTGGCTGGCGGGTGATCAGGGGATGGAGGGAGCCCATGCTAGCACCCACCCTGGCTGGCCTGGGGCCTGTGGGCTGGGGGTAGCTCCTGCATTGAGCATCTGCCCCCTGGTGGTCAGTGTGCATTATAGGGACTGGTTGTTCCACCCATCTGACTTTTGGTCAATTTGCATATTAGGCTTTTATTACATAGAATTACTTTCTCATAAAACTGATTCTGTTTCTCTGAAAAAAACTGATTAATACAGTAGGTAAACTAAAGCCAAGAGAAATTACATGCTTTTCCTAATATTACTTAATAAGTAGTGACAGAGTTGATAATAGAAAGACTAGGTATTTAGGTCATAAAATTATCTTAAAAGTTAATTATAAGCCTGGCTGGTGTCACTTAGTGGTTGAGTATCAACCTATGAACCAGGAGGTCATGGTTCAATTCCTGGTCAAGGCACATGCCTGAGTTGCAGGCTTAATACCCAGTGTGGGGTGTGTAAGAGGCAGCCAATCAATGGTTCTCTCTCATCATTAATGTTTCTATCTCCCTCTCCCTTTTTCTCTGAAATCAATACAAATATACTTAAAAATTGATTATAAGCCAAGAAAGAAATTCAGAACTATCGATTTCCAGCCCTCTCTTTTCTAGTGAGTTGCATGCAGAGAAATGTAAGGTTTTATGCAAAATCCAATACATTAAAAATTCTAATACTCTAAGATAAAACAGGGGAGGGATTACTTGTTTTCTTTACCAAAAGTTACAGTGTACAATTCTTCATAGAGGCAACTTTCCTCATCAGTTAAGGTGGTTTCATTTTTTTAAGAAAATGCTTTGCAACCTTTTAGAAATTCCTAAGTTCACTCAAACAAGGTATGACATTAAAATTTCTCATGTTAAAAATATTTCCAAGATTCAATCATTATTTCATCCTCTTGAAAACAAATATTTTATAAGGTTCGAAAAGGCAACAAGAGGAAGAATATGCCTATGTCATTGTCTCAGTAAATGTAAGTTTCATATTGTGTGTGATGATTTGCTCATAACAAGCTCTTACATTCTTTCCGGGAAGCATCACTGTGAATCTGAGTTACTGTCATTTTTTAATGGAGACAACGAGGGCTGACAGAAACTCCAGGACCTGCCCAAACTCCTCAGAGCCAAAGCATTGGGTTCCCAGCTCTGAGCTCTCATTGCCCTCTGTGATGCCCATGAAGCACCAGCATTAGCCAGAAGGGTGATGATGTTTGTAGGTTTCTTGACCAAGAATCCCACAGTGAGCTAAATTCTCACTCTATTCTTGTTGCTAGCAAGAATATTAAGATTGACCTTAGAAAAAAAATCCCAGTACATCTTTTCATTCTTAAAGATAACCTTACCATGACCTTTTTTTTTTTTTTTTTTTTTTTAATATTCTTTATTGATTTCAGAGAGGAAGGCAGAGGGAAAGATAGAAACATCAACAATGAGAAAGAATCATTGATCGGCTGCCTCCTGCACATCTCCTATTGGGGATCAAGCCCACAACCTGGGCATGTGCCCTTGACTAGAACCAAACCTGGGACCCTTCAGTCCACCGGCTGACTCTCTATCCACTGAGCAAAACCAGCTAGAGCTACCATGACCTCTTGAAGCTATGCAGTGATTCTATGGGACAATGGAAAATTTGATCACACGCATAAGGCCTTAGCCTTCCTTTCTCCACGTTTTCAAAGTGCTCCCGTTGGGAACTATCCTTTGGGTTCTACATCCGTGTTTTACAAGCAAACTTTAGTAGTTGTTGTTCATGTTAATGGTCTACTGAAGTGAAAGAGTAATCCTCATGCTTTATAGCAGCTCTCTTTCTTACCTTGGTTTTCATGTCCCCATCACATTTGTAAGACTTGATTTCTCTCCTCATCTTGTCTGAGAGCAGGTGGACCAAGACAATTCTTTGGAGGCACAATGAGTGATTTCTCTCTCTCTCTCTCGAGGCACATCTCTCTGGTCTGCCAGGGAATGAGAATCTAGTCACACAGATCATTTTGAATGGTGCCAAGTAAATTTCACCAAATGCTTCTGTCGATAATTACAGCATGTCCCTGGGACATGTGGTCATTTTCTTCTAGCATTAGGCTTTGGGCTTATCCTGAGTGGCTTGACAATGACAGAGAGAGGGCACAGGTAGCTTTCTCCATAGAAATCACAAAGAGGCCTCATGATCAGAGCAGTGAAGGGGTCGAAGGGCTTCTTTATCCTGAAATGTCAGAAACAGGATGCCAGGCACTCAGTAGGAACCACCTAGAACTTACTGCCCTTTGCCAACAGCACACTCTCGCCAGCTATTCCAAAAATCAGGCAAAGTGGTGATTGCAGACCACCATTTTGGAATAAGCAGACCTGCGGGCTCCATCATGCTGGGGAAAATCATCACCTGTTGTAGCTTTCAGAACAGAAAGCGCTTTGATAGGAATGCGAAGTCCTGAAAGCCGGTGGTGAAGGGTGAAGTCACCTCTGGGGAGCAGATAGCATCCCAAAGTCTACCAAGGTTTTAGGCTCAACCACAAGACTGCTTTTTACATAAATAGGATCAGGTAGTCACATCAAAGGGCCGAGCGAGACCACGAACCACAATTATAAAAAAAAAAAAAAAAATCGCCCAGAAGAGCTGCAGGATGGCGAGAAAAGGCAGAGATGCAGAGGAGGGACACGCGGGCGGAGGGAGGCCGCGAGGGAGGGGAGAGGAGAAAGCTGAGCGCGAACGTCAGGAGCCCCCGCTCGCTCGGGCAGAGGCTGGCGGAGGCCCTGGGGAGCACGGGGCGTTGGAATAATTACCGGAGCCCGCGTGTGTCTGCGCCATCCTGTGGGTGTGGCGCCGAGCGGAGCGTAAACTCCGCTGGTGGGGCCGGCGCTCACACCGGCTCCGCGGCCGCCGCCTGCCCGCCCGCCTGCCAGCCGTGCGGACCCGCAGCGCGCAGCCACCTGCACGATGGCCTCGTCTCAGGGGACAAATGAGCTCAAATTGGCCGACTGGATGGCAACTCTCCCGGAGAGCATCCACAGCATCCCCCTCACCAATCTGGCCATCCCAGGTAGGGCGCCCGGCGCCGCCGCCTGCCCCGCCCTGCCCGCCGCCGCCGGCGCTAAGTTGCACGGTGCCCGCGGGCGGGCGGGGAGCTGGTCCCGGTGGGTCTGGGGCCTCCTGGCCTGTCCCTCACCCCGGGGACCCCGGCGCGGGCATCAAGGTGACTGCCTTCGGCCGGCTTTGAGCAGGCTGTGGCACAGGGATGGGGCGGGAAGGGCTCGGCCGGGGGCTGGCCCCGGTGCCCCCTCCCTGGTTCTCTCCGCAGACTGGGAGGCGGGGGCGCATTTGGGGGCGGGGGGGTGCGTTGTGAGCGGAACCCGTGTCCTGAGGTCCATCCAGCGTCTGGACCTCCGACTCCATCCCTGTCACAGGATCCAGAGGGTTTGGCAGTTTTCTCCGTTAGAACCACCTGAGCATTCATTTCTGTCCGCGGTCCCCCGTCTCCGGTAAAGAGCGCTTCCCCGAAGGGAGGAAAGTTGCGGGACCAGCGGCGGCGTGATCGCTGCCCTTGACCCGAAAGCCGCCAGGGCGAGGGGCGGGGGCGCCGGCTGTGGTCTGGGAGGACCCGGGGGCCAGGCCGGGTGCCACCGTGGGAACCAACCGTGATCGCAGCGCTGCTAGCGACCATCAGACCGTCAGCTCCGGGTCCTGGAGACCAGCCTTTGGGCACCCTGCGGAGCTGCTCCGGAGGGGCCCTGCGCGGCGGTGGCGGAGGAGGGGTGGGATCCACAGAGGAGGTGGTTGTGCTGGTGCCCGGGGGTCCCCGCAGCCCGAGGCTTCAGCGGGGCGCGCGCCTGGGACCGGAGGTCTGGGCAGGTCTCCGGTGGGTGCGTGGCAGCCCCTGGCTCAGGTGTGCAGCGGGGAGGACACGCCAGGACTGGGCCACACTTCCTTACCAATGAGACTTTCCACTCGGGCTGCAGGAGTGGACGCCTAATCCTTCCAGGGTCTGCCCGGAGGAGAAATTACAAATGACGCACAGGTGGTCCACACCTGCCCCTATTGAGCCCGAATAGGTTCAACCTTCTGTTCTACCTCTTCTTGGTTTGCTCCACCCAGCGCCCCCTCTCAGCCACAGAGCGGAAACATAATTTCAAACAAACAAAAGCAAAAGAAGGGTTCTCTTGAAACCCCAAGAGGTTCTAACCAGCAGAGCTGGAATTGATCAGCAGCCTGAATCAGTGGCCCTTAGTCAAGTGGATGTCCGGCTGCTCTGATAGGCACAGGCCACACTCTGAGCGCCATGGGAAGGGGGAGTCTGTGTCCTGGTGTCCTTTGAGGTGTAGCTTCCCAAGAGCCTGGGTGTCTCCAGCTTAAAGAACAACCCAAGCCTTTCCACCCCACAGTGCCTGCCACCTGGGCCAGCCTGGGGAGTGGTCTTTTGAAGGAAATGGTAGAAAGTACACAACTTCGTTGGCAAAATTCCACTCACTTCCGCAGGAGTTCCTATCCTCTTTTTTTCTTCTTTTTTTTCTTTGGTTTTAAAGTTACTTTCACATGGCCTCTCCCTGAGCATTTCTGCACAAATGGAAGGTGGGAGGGGCGAACGATGATTGTCTTCCAGTGTGTGACTGACTCTGCAGAGACAAAGGGGTGAAAGGCCTAGATTCACATTGCTGGTTCTGAGGGAAGCTGTAGCGCCTGTCTGAATCGCTTACGTTTCTGTAACACTGACTTTTCAGAGCCCTGGTATGTGTACCAGATCACATGATCCTTCTCCAGGCCCCACGAAGCAGGCACTGCTGGGCTGTGAACTCCATTTCACACATGTAAAAATTGCAGCTCAGTGAAGGCAAATGGCCTGATATCAGTGCAGAGATCTGACCCTAAAGCAGTCCTTAGGGAAGAGCTTCTAGGAATTTTGGAGCAAAATGCTTTGGCATTTGTATCTGGATAATTCAGCAGCAACAAGTACTGACCAGGTTGAAGGGACAAGGAAACATGCACAGACAAGAACAGAGCAATTTCCCTTTCTCCCCATGGAACAAAGTCTCTGACCTTGATGTTCCGGCATACTTAGAGACATAGGATGGCCCTGGATGCCATGGGGATTTCCACCACTTTCCCAATCTCTATTATCAGTATTATCTTCCAAATGGCCCCCCTGCAGAGCTTCCCATCCTCATCCCCAATACTCCTTAGAATTATTTCTTCAAATACCCACCTCCCCCCGGTTTCCCATGAGTCTGTAATGTAGATTTGGTAGAACCACACACATAACCCCAGGTCTAAAAATGAATTATGGCCCTTTCCTGCATTACTCAGCTGTGAGAAGTTTTGGAGGAAAAAAAAAAAAAAAGACAGTCAAACTTTGACAGTCAGAAAAGACTAATTGGAGACTATTAAACACTAATGGAATAATTGCCCTAAAATCATGCTAATAGCTTCCTGGCTGCTACATGTTTACTTGGCCGGTTGCTAGAGCTTGAATTAAGTAATTGCCTCCACCATTTAAAGCCACTCCTGATGCCCCACACCAGTGTTCCTGTGGAAGGAACTGCTGCTTTGTCATCCTCAAAGCTTCAGGTTTTCAGCAGGTGACAGAATGGGAGTGTGAAGAGCTGCCTAATTAGGAGACCATCCACTTGGGGCAGTTAAACGGATGACTGGGGAGGGGCCATGCAAAGAACAGTGTGCAAGTGTGAGATACTCCCCAGCATGAGTCTATTGCTGGCCTCTCTAAACATTTCTAGGTGTCTGCCTCTGGAATGTTTTCATAACCAAATCCCTCAGTGGCGATTTTGCATCTAAATGGCCTCATAGACTGACCTAAGGCATCAAGTTCCTAATTGGTGTTAGTAGTTTTGCTGTCATTTATCTTTCAAAGGGATGGCACTGTCAGGACACAGGGACAGGTACTCAGATCTCAGGCTCATGTATCACTTAGTCTTCTCTCCGATGACACCAAACAAGGTTTTTCATTCATTCATACATGTTTGTTTAACAATCCCCCTGGCAGTCTGGGTGATGAATGATGTTTCCTCTCACCACAAGCAGGTGAGAGAGGATAAACAGGATGGCAGCAGGAAGACAAAGTATAAAATGCAGGTGAAGGGGAGTCAGATGAATTTCTGGTGGGCCTTTGGCATCTTTGAAGCAGAATTTTTAATTCTATAGTCATGGTAGCTCCAGAACCATGGAGAAGAGATCCATCACGGGATCCAAGCAAGCTGCTGCCTAATCTGACTAAGGTGTTGGTGGTCTGGGTCTGTGACAGGAGGTCATTCTGTCCAAAACCTAAATGATCAGGAAGGGGTTCTTTCCCATGGGAAGGGTCTGTTATGCATTTCTGATAAGTGCTGAAAGTCTTCTTCACACAGTAGAGTAAGTTGTGTTTTCTTGGTGTTGGAGGAGTTCATATAGAGGATGTGACTGTCAGTTGACCCATGAGTAGGACTCAGGCAATTGGAGTCTCGTCCTTGAAATATTCTTTCTGCCCATGTTCCATTCCCACAGCCAGAGCCATTTTCAAGGTCAAAGCCTTTGAAGAGAAATGTGTTGTTGGGCCGTCTAGATGGTATATGTGGCTGAACCCAGTTGAGGGACTTAACCCAGTTAAGTCCTCTGTACAAGTGTTTAAGAGTGTGGAGACCTCATCTTGTGGCTGCCCAAGACAAGCCTGGTCTCTAAGTTCTTTGCTAATGAAAGCTGCCATCTACCCATCGGGAGTGAGCTGCCTCTTTCTTCGCTCTCTCCTCGCCCTCTGGGTTCCTTGGCCAATTTGTGAACCAGCAGTTGAACGGGAATTATTGATTATACTTTACATAGAAACACAGAGATGCTCCGGGAATCAGTAATTGCACCTGTCAATTTTACTCATTGCTTACAGAAAATGCCAGCACTGATGAAAAAGAACAGTGATACTTAGGCAGGGAAATTAGACATCCCTACAGCTTTGATTTCTATGTTCTTATGTTTGCTTTTATTAGTTTTTAATTTCTTCCCTTGCAGCAATCTCTTCTCATCGTCAGTTTTCCTGGAGCCAACTGTCTTCTTCCTTTTCTGTGTAATTCACTATTTCTATTTTGATTGGAGTGAGACCTTCTACAGACAAATCTGGAACTGGATCTGATTGTGCAAATTTCTTTTAAAAAGCCAGGTTTTGTGTGTGTTTTTTCCACCTTTTGGTTAAGATGGTTCTATGGAAGTTAATTTTTCAAAGCACTCACTAAGCAACAGAAATGTTTAGGATGAATATCTTTCTTCTTGGCCTTTCCAATTCCCCATTTTGCTTTTGTTAAAGAGGAAAATTAGAAGAATATCTGGAACGTAATTTATTCTACTAGGACTTTTTTTTCCTGAGCAGTTGAGTTGAATCACCAATTATTTTTAATCAATATAATAAGGTGATGCTTATGTCATTTTACATACAGTTCATGAAGAATTTTCTCATGTACACATGTGCTTTACCCATGTTCCGTCAACAATCAAAGGCCTTGCTACTCAGAGTTGGGCCAGAGGCCAGCAGCACAGGAGCTTGGTAGACATTCAGCCCCTATACCCCTCCCTTCAGGATGGTTTAATCATGATTTGCCTTCTAACAACATCGCCAGGTGATTTACATGCACGTTTAACATTCGGGACTGCTGCTTTGAGGGATTTCTCAGGGAATCCTTGTTGTAAGTGACAGAGCCAAGTTTAAATTTGCATCTTTGACAAAGCTCTTCCTATTGGACCGTGCAGTCTCCCTGTGAGTGTTCAAATTCACCACCAGGCTTAGAGCCAGAACCCTCTGTTTGCTCAAGGCTAATGGCCCAGGTTGGGAACATTTCTGTTAACTGACATTACAGTTTATCATGCACCTTGTACGATAGATGTGGTTCAGTTGCTACTTAAGTGTTCAAATTAGGTCCTGTGATAAATGTAAAACATTTCCCTTCATTTCCTTAGAGTCCTGCTGCTCATTGACATCAGCCATCAGCAGCACTTAAATCCACCCACCCGGTGATGCTGGTGCTCACTAATGATGATTCAGAAAACATCTCTGAAGGTTCTTCGTCCATTTGG